CTTGTTGACAACATTTTTTCTCACCGGGTACCGACCGAAAATTTTAGGGAGGCCATTTTTCGAAAAAGGGAAAAAATTTCCAAACGCGATTTTCTTTCATTCTGAATGAAAGGGCATGGTCCAATTAGTGTGTAATTGCAGCGGCAAGTGTTTCTGTGCAGGCAAACAGCTCGTGCAGCAATGACAAAATCAACATCGTGCGCCGTTTGAGACAGTTTTTTGGAAGTAGCTTCCAAACTATGCGTGCGTTAATGTTTTATGTTATACCATCGTGGTTGCCGTGCGATTGCGCGTCGAATGATACATAGTAAAACATTAGTGCGTTGCTGGAAACATATAGCATTCCTGATGGCCGCAAATTCCATGGTTTTGTTTCTGAGAGCCGCTCCGTTTCAAAGCAGATTGCCGGTGCAGACGATACACAGTGGTGGAACAAGCATTCAGTGGCGTTGTCAATATGCAAGTGAGCGCAAATCTGTCTGTGGCCACTTTGATGCGAAAAACGGCCCATTTCAGAAACGGACTTTTTCTCGACCGATATGACGGCCAACAGGAAGTCCAGCATGCGTGCAACTAGGATGCATGTTCAAATTGAGAACAGCCGTTTTTCGGGTAGTAAAATGTTCCAAACTCATTTCTAACGAGCCATTGAAAATCAAGCGGTGCTTTAACTTGTAAACGATGTGAGCCGATGGTACCACGTGTTGACAACATTTTTTCTCACCGGATGCCGACCGAAAGTTTTTGGGGATCATTTTTTGGAAAATATGACAATTTTCCAAAGGTGATTTTTCATTTCTGAATGAAAGGGCATGGTCCAATTAGTGTGTAAGTGCAGGGGCAAGTGTTTCTGTGCAGGCAAACAGCTAGTGCAGGAGTTTGCAATTTCAACATCGAGAGTCGTTTGAGAGTTTTTTTGGAAATAACTTCAAAACTGTACGTGCATTGATGTTTTGAGTTATACCATCATGTTTGCCGTGCGATCACGCGTCGAATGATATATAGTAATACATTAGTGCGTTTCTGGAAACATATAGCATTCTTGATTGCCGCAAATTTCCATGGTTTTGTTTCTGAGAGCCGCTCCGTTTGAACGCGGATTGCCGGTGCAGACGATACACAGTGGTGTAACAAGCATTCCGTGGCGTTGTTGTCAACATGCAAGTGATAGCAATTCTGGCCGCGGCCGCTTTGATGCGAAAAACGGCCCATTTCGGAAACATACGTTTTTTCGACCCATGTGAGGGCCAATATCACATCCAGCACGCGTACAAATTGGATGCATGTTCAGATTGAAAACTGCCGTTTTTCGGCTAGTAAAATGTTCCGAACCCATATCTAACGAACCAATGAAATTCAAACGGTGCTTTTACTTGCAAACGATGTAAGCCGATGTTACCACTTGTTGACAACATTTTTGTTCACCGGGTGCCGACGGAAAATGTTGGGGGGGGGGGCATTTTGTCGAAAAATATGAAGTTTTTCCCAACGTGATTTTTTCATTTCTGAATGAAAGGGCATGGTCCAATTAGTGTGTAAGTGCAGCGGCAAGTGTTTCTGTGCAGGCAAACAGCTTGTGGAGGATTTTCAAAATCAGCCTCGAGCGCCCTTTGAGAGTTTTTTTTAGAAATAACTTCAAAACTATACGTGCGTTAATGTTTTTAGTTATACAATCGTGTTCCCCGTGCGATTGCGCGTCGAATGATATATAGTATGACTTTTGTGCGTTGCTGGAAACATATAGCATTCTTGATGGCCGCAAATTTCCATGTTTTTTCCGACAGCCGCTCCGTTTGAAAGCAGATTGCCGGTGCCGACGATACACAGTGGTGGAATGCAGTGGCGTTATTGTCAACATGCAAGTGATTGCAAATCTGGCCGCGGCCATTTTGATTTGAATAACGGCCCATTTCAGAAACGGACGTTTTTTCGACCCATATGAGGGCCAATATGTAATCCAGCACGCGTACAAATTGGATGCACGTTCAGATTGAAAACAGCCGTTTT